CCATTCTCTAGAGGGCCCACCGCAGGCGCGATGAGCAGATTCAGGCTCTGTCCATCTTTCTGCTCTCATCGAGGGTGCTTAGATCTCGTACGGCAAGCCCGGTCTAAAAGCGAGGTGCCCAATCGTTGGGAGACGCTCCACGAATGTGTTGTGCTCACAAAACGAACCGGAAATCCCTAGGCGTCGCAGGAGTAGATATTCCCAAATGTACACAGGCCCCACATTATTCGGAAAGGGCTTCTTTATCGATGATGGCCCAGTACGCGAAGAACCCGAAAAAATTCCACTCTCGCACACGAGAAGTTAGTGAGCTTGCTGCCATGGCTCAAAGGTCGTCATTCCAGTTAGAAAATTACCGTCGTGTAGTAAGAAAATAAATGTGCTGTTATTTATCATTGCTGTCGGTTTTTGCTTCTATGCGTCGCTTGCAGTTAGTAAGTATCTTATCAATCTAATTTGCCGAATGTTTGGTGAGCACTTTTTGAGTCCGAATTATACTATGTTTTGTAAATGTGATATTCCAGTTGTACTACTTTTGTGAGTACATGAGCAAAAGAATGCTTAGCTCAGGATTCTAGCGCACTGTTGCGTGCTGGCTGCATTATTGACCATCTCCCGGCCGTCTGCACCGAGCCCGTATCCATTTAAGAGCAGTCATGACCGTGTCAGCTGCGTGACGGTCATTGGAGGCACATGTTACTTAGTATTAAGCTCTATGTAATAGGCCGTCAGTTTCAAAGTGAGGAGGCCTTTTAAAGCGGGCGCGCCACGCGTCCTCCTCGCCATTAACATCCCTCGGCAATGTGTTTACTTATTAAGTTTCCTTAAGAAGTAGGATGTTTGAACCTTTTCTATTAGCTACATAATTGACTAATTAAGGTGCATTCTAACACTTAGAGTTTGGCCTTTGCAGACCTACAATGTAAGCATACCGGTACATATGGGCCTCCGCATACTAGCAAAATGCTGGTCATCATGGCGCCCAAAAAGACCTTGTCCCTGTCGATTGTGTGTCTATACCAAGTAGACTCCTCGCACGCAGTGTGCTCTCTTATACCTTCCTGCCTTGTACACATGATCTAGACGACCGTCAATCCGGAGCCGACGGAAAAGGTTGCCGAGTGGCGCCGTCCAGAGCTCATTTCCCATTCTCCTCACTCGAGCTCACATCAAACAGCTCTCGTGCATTCGAAGGCTGTCCAAGAACACGCAAGCGCAACATGTTCAGCAGTAGCAAGATCGCCGCCGTGTGCCTCGCCGTCGTGGCGCTAACCAACAGTGCGTATGCTGAGAAGGAGGCCGCCCAGACGTTCGGACTGCTTGGCGCTGGTCTGCACGGTGGTGCGGGACTCTATGGAGCTGGCGCTGCCGGTCTTCACGGTGGAGCCGGCGTTGGTGCTGGTCTGTACGGTCGAGGTGCCGGCTATGGTGGTGCTGGTGCTGGTCTGTACGGTCGAGGTGCTGGTGGCGTTGGTGCTGGTCTGTACGGTCGAGGCGCCGGATATGGTGGTGCTGGTGCTGGGCTGTTTGGTCGGGGAGCCGGCTACGGTGGCGCTGGTGCTGGGGTCGGAGCTGGCGTTGGCGGTGCGGGCGTCGGTAACGGATACGGCGGTGCTGGTGTCGGAGGAACTACGGGTGTCGGTGCTGGTGTCGGAGGAACTACGGGTGTCGGTGCTGGTGCCGGTGTCGGAGGTGGTGTGAGTGGTAACGTCGGTGCTGGCGTGGGCGTGGGCGGTAATGCTGCTGTCGGCGCTGGTGTGGGCGGGGCTGCGAACGGAAGAGTGAGTGCCAATGCTGGTGTCGGCGCGTGAGTGAGTGGGGAACCCCGGTCCCGGCCTCGGACTTGGAGCTAGTGGAAGTCCTAATCGCTGGATTTGAGCGCCAATGCTGGTGTCCGAGGTGGTGTCGGCGGATCGGGCCGGTGTGGGAGGAGCGGCAAGTACTGGTGCGGGTGGAGCTACGACAACGACGGACGGCAAAACTAGCACATCTACGTCGCAGAACGGCGGGGCCAAGGCAACTGCAACTACCACGACTGCAGGCACGACCACCGGCACCGCCGGCACGGGTGCTTCGACGAAGCAGACAGGTTATCGCATGCTGCGGTCGCAGTGAGCCGAGGAATAGTGTCTTGTTGACAACTTCTCCTGGCTACGTTGTTCAGCTCTTAACTCATCTCGCTCAAAGAGGCGATCTGTCGATATCTGTGTATAATTTTTAATACCGTCGTGTAGTAAGAAAATAAATGTGCTGTTGTTTCTCATTGCTGTCGGGTTTTGCTTCTTTATGCGTCGCTTGCAGTTAGTAAGCATCGTATCAATCTAATTTGCTGAATGTTTGGTGCGTAGAGCACTTTTTGAGTCCGAATAATACTATGTTTTGAGTGGATGATGTTGAAGTTGCACTCGAAAAAGGCAACTTGGTGCTTTTGTGAGTACCTGAGCAAAAAAAAGCATCAAGTTGCTTAGCTCAGGATTCTAGCGCACTCTTGCGTGTTGGCTGCATTATTGACCAGCTCCCGGCCGTCTGCACCGGCCCCGTATCTATTTAAGAGCAGTCATGACCGTGTCAGCTGCGTGACGGTCATTGGAGGCACATGTTACTTAGCGTTTGGTTTATCGAAGTCAGGGGAGCTTGGGGGAGAGCGCGCCAAAAGAAAAGTGCCGCCCCCGCAGTTCAGACGGATGGAAGCTTCTAGAAGCTTCCACAGCCGTCCTACATCTGCCTGTTTATTATTTACAATACTATACATTCCATAGTACAACTAACAACCC